TGTTGAGGTGTATAAGTACAAGAAGTTTGATGCAAAATACCGGTAGAAGCCAAGAATTATTTAAAAGAATGAGAAATATATTCACGGTCATTATCACTACGCAAAACTCTAATAGAAACACCGAACTGAGTTTGTATTTCATTAAAAAAAGATTGAAAGATATGAAATACTTCATAACGATTTTTTTTTATCAAAAATAACTAAGTACATCTACAAAAATCATCAATGAAAGTAACAAAGTATTGAAAACCTAAAGTAGACTTAACGCGGCTAGGTCCCCAAATGTCAGAGTGAACCACGATAAAAGGGGACGAAGCACCATGTGTGACACTACAAGGAAAGAAAGTACGACTATGCTTGCCTAATTGACATGACTCACATGCCAAACTAGACAGCTTAGACAAGGCAGGGACAAACTGCTATAACTTGGCAAGACTTGGATAACCTAACTGAGCATGAAGAAGAGAGAGAGACTCCATAACTGCACAACATGTGTAGAGGGACGAAGATGATAAAGACCATGAGACTCACATCCTGTGCCAATCACCTATTTCGAACTTCGGTCCTGTAAGCCCACAAAATTGTTAGTAAAAGAAACAACACAATCAAGAGAACGAGTTAGACGACTAATGGATAATAGGTTAAAAGGAGACCCAGGGACATAAAGAATGTTATCAATGATTAAAGAAGGAAAAAATTTAACAGTTCCAACACCATGAGATGATACTCTAGAGTCATCAGCCAGTGTAACAGAAGGTAAAAGATTAGGACAGGATAAATAAGAGAACAAAGATTTATTACCAATAATATGATCAGTGACTCCTGAATAAAAAACCCAAGGACCATAAGAAGAAGATTGGGTCAGACCAGCAAAAGATGTACCTATTTGTGTGACAGACACAGTGGAACTAGAAGACTGTTGATCCTTATATCATTTGAGAAATTTGTTGAACATAGCAGGTGTGTCGGATGAAACAGAAGAAGGAGGATCCCTAGTAGATAAAGGTGGGGAAAGATCAGTTTGAACAACTGCAGTAGATCGAGGAGGACGACCATGTAATGCATAACACCTGTCAATCTTATGACCTAGTTTACCACAATGTTCACACTCATGTAATGCATAACACTGGTCAATCTTGTGACCTAGCTTGCCACAATGTTCACACTTAGAACGCCATTTTCCCTGTTTGCGAGGGCGAGTTCGGTCATCATGGTGAGATACCAAATGCAGAAGAATCATTAACAGAAGCAGGTGTGTCAGGGTTGAGTTTTACTGGTACACGCAAAAGAATGGAGCAAGTTGAAGTCAAGGTGGGGACAATCGGAGAACCCAAAATCTGATCACGGATATGTGAATATTGATCAGCAAGTCCATGTAATGCCCCTAGCATGAAAAACTTTGATCGTTGTGCTATCTCGGTGGTAGGGTCGGGGGAAGGAGGCAATAACTCATTGAACTCATGAAAAAGAGCATGAATTTTGCCCATATAATCAGTAATAGAATCTTGATGTTTAGAGGCAATAACATCTACAAATTTAGAACAGACACCATAGAGACGTTGAGTATCATTAGTATATAATAACTTTGCATGTTCCTAGATTTTGGCACACGTTTCGTGGGAACGAAAAATTTGTTTTAATGAAGGATCAAGAGCACCCTTGAGAACCACACATAATTGAGCATCAATGGTGTCCCAACAGTCTTCCTCATCAAGAGTGAGAGTAGGTGCTTTCGGGGCAAGATGATCAAGATACTTCTGACTCTTAAGTCATAATCTGACGTCTGATGACCATGTGGTATAATTAGGGTCAGTTAACTTGTCAATGGATAAGTGCACATTAACATAGTTAGCGTAGATGGAAGGATAAAATATAGTACTGACAAAATTATAAGTACTAGAAGGAGCGGAAGAAGTCATAAAGGGTAGAGGCGGCGACGACGGCGGTGACAACGGCGTGAACCAATACACCAGGTAAGTTCCTAGGAAAGAGAGGTGAGTCACTAATGGATATGCTTAAATATCAAATCTTTCCTTGTCAGAACCTTCCTAGACATGCATTTTCACACTACCAAATAATATCCAGTAACAAAAATAACTCTTTTCTGATGTGGAAGATCAGTTTAACCGGAAGCGACGGTGGCGGCTCCAGCAGTGGACAAAGGCGAAAAAATTTCAAAATAACATTAAGCTCTAGATACCATGTTGAATATAGAGAAAATAGAGTTTGAGATTAAACTCCCTTGTGTATAAACTACACATAGGGTAATATCTTTATAGTAGAGAGATGTACAACTAAAAGAGTAACTGAAAGTAACACAATAAACAAAAGATATTGTTTGATATAGTGATTAACAATATCTTAACAATATCTAACACTATGAAAGGGATGCATGCATAGCCATGGAAGGATTTCCTGGGATACATGCAAAGTCACGTGAAGGAATGTTGTTTGCAATTATTGTGGTATTCTGGTTCACGTGAGAAAAATGAACGAGGGTAATACGGTAATTGCATTCTCCTTCTCTTATGTTTTTTTCGTTTTTCTCCTCGATCTAGTGGGAGTTCTTCATTTGCACTCTCCCTCAAATCTTTCATCGCATTTCTCTTCAAATTTTTGGATATAAACACAAATATCTGTCATTTTTCATCTATTTGAATAGTATATGTGCGAAAACAAACACACATTAAGTGTGGTTTAGATTAAAGGATGAATTTGAGGAGATGAAAATAAGAGGATTTAAAGGGAAAGAGAGGTATAGTTGGGATTGTTTGAATTAAGAGAAAATTGATTAGAAATGAGATGCAAGTTTGTGAATGATGTAATTAATTTGATAGATTAAAAAAATTAAATTTTAATTGATAAAATGGTTAGATTACAATTTTGTCTTTGGCTTAAATAAATATTTAAGAATAAAATATAACTTAAGTAAATAATGTTAAAATTAGATAGGATATTATTTAAAATATATAAAAATTTAAATATATGAATTTATTGTAAAATAAAATATAAGTTGGAAATTATTATTATAATAATAATTCTTATAATTATAATTATTTTTGTTATTAGCATTAATAATAATATTAATATTAATAATTATTATTATTATTTTTATATATATATTGTTTTAAATATTATGATTATTAAATAATTTTTAAAGTATAATAATTTTATGGAATAAAAATAATAGAGAAAATTAAAAGACAATTTAAAAAATATTATTTTATATTATTTTTAATATTTAATTAAAAATATTTTAAAAAATAATTAATACATAATTTATTTACATATGATTTTATAAAAAAAATATAATATTATAATAATTATGATATAAAAAAATATAAATAATTAAATTTAATGATGAATGAGTAGAAAGATAATTTATGGGTAAAATAATAATTCTTCTTTCACTTTTCCTCTCCCTTGTGCGTGGATTGCTTCTCCTTATTTATCATCTTCATTACTCTGCATTTCTCTGGAAACAAACTTGATTAATCCATTCAAATCGCATGAACAGGAAATAGGTTGAACCAAACATATGCTAAGTGATATAAAACTTATCGTTTTGTAAGACATGTAGTGAAAAGAAATATGTATAGTTGAGATTTAATTAAAGGATTGGACATTACCTGTTATTTAGATGTTATTATGTAAAATTTAATTAAACAATTTTCTTAATTTTGTAAATATTTTAATGATTTTTATACTACTATTTTAATTTAATTTACTAGTTTTACTAAGAAAAACTATAATTTTTTTAGTGTATAAATAAGAAGAAGAAAAAAATCAAGAGAGAAAAAAATATGGAAGGGTTTAGGGTTCAACGCTCTACCCTAGGTATTTGTTAGAGTTTGTAAATTTTTTTGTATGGGAATAAGATTAAATTTTATAATTTACGTCTTTGTCTCTAAATAATCGAAATTTAAAAAAGGTTAAGCTCAATGAGAATCCAACATTTCAATACAAGAGAATTAAATGAAAGAGTTTCAAACTCTAAAAAAAAAATCCCTCACTTAATTTCATAATCATGTTTAAATGATGAAAAAATATTAGTAATTTTATCTCTAATTACTTGTTTCAATCTAAAGGAAATGTATCATAATTGTTGCATATTTGTCTCACATCTCTAAGTAGATAATGAATTATAAACAGTTCTTAATATTTCTACACTTGAATAATATTGAAAAAATTATTATAATCAGAAGTGAAAATAATTTATTCTTTAAACTCTTTACATATTTTATAACATTTTTTTTAATTTTATGTTATTAATAAATTAATTCTTTTTTAATTTCATAATCATGTTTAAATGATGAAAAAATATTAGTAATTTTATCTCTAATTACTTGTTTCAATCTAAAGGAAATGTATCATAATTGTTGCATATTTGTCTCACATCTCTAAGTAGATAATGAATTATAAACAGTTCTTAATATTTCTACACTTGAATAATATTGAAAAAATTATTATAATCAGAAGTGAAAATAATTTATTCTTTAAACTCTTTACATATTTTATAACATTTTTTTTTAATTTTATGTTATTAATAAATTAATTTTTGTAAAAGAAAACAAGTAGTAATTAGCTTTTGAAAAACCCTATAATAAAAGGTACTTGAATGATACAATTTTTCAATATTAAAATGGATTATTTATCTATCATAATAATAAACAAATATTTGTAAGATTATATAAAATATAATATTAATATTAAGTTTTACAAGTTTTTAGTCTAATAAGCGTTGCAATTAAAAATGGGCCTAACTATAGCATAGGCCTGACCCATTTTCACTGCCTTAAATTAAATTGATCATTGTTAGAATAATTTTCCACGTACCTATTTTTCTTTGTTGTCTATCACCGAAATTTGAACGTTGTGCAATCTCACTCCTCTGAACTAAAGCAGAAATCAAAAAACGTATTCGACGAACCAAGAAGAAGAATTTATTGAGTCAAAGCCTAACTCGTGTTCGAGTTTGTGCTTTAGAGAACAACGGGAAAATGTCGGTGTTGATCGTGACGAGCTTAGGGGACTTAGTCGTCGATTTGCACACTAACAAATGCCCGTTAACCTGCAAAAATTTCTTGAAGCTTTGCAAGTTAGTCCTCGAAATTTCTCTTCCCCTGACATAGCTTCTTCTGTTACAAATTGTCAATTTTTTTGTTGGGTCCTCTTCCTATTTCGATAAATTTCTCCGAGCTTCTGAAACGAAAACCCTTGTTGGGTCGTTTTTCTTCAGAAAAGAACACCGAATTTGGTCTATTTTAATGCACTCTATGGTATTTGCGTGTGGGGGTGCTTGATTGGACTGTTGCTATGAATTTTTATGCTTTGTGTGTGTGTGTGTGTTTCATTTTATGGACAGCATAAATGGATTATTTGATGAGTTAGGTTCCGTTAGGAAGGATTTATCTGCAACTTATTTAAAATTATTTTATAACTTCGGAACTTAAGTAAGGGATATAGAGAGTTCATGAATACAGCTTATGATCTAGAAGTTGTTTTTAGCTTATTTAAGTTCTTTAGGATAGCTTATGCAAAAAGCAGCTTAGTTATATGTCAACAAGCAAGCCCTATTTTCTATTTGATTATAAAAAAAAATAACTTATATACAAGTGCTTGCAAATTAAGTACTTATTCAATAAGTCCTTAATTAAGTTGTTTGCCCAAATTGGTCATTATTTTTATTACCTTGTTTTTAAAAGAAATATGTAACTGGTGTGATATTTGCATATAGGGTGTTTGTTTAAATCATAACGTGCTCTTTGTGGGTTTGGAATTGTTGCACCAGGATTAAGTACTATAATGGGTGTTTATTTCACACTGTTCAAAAGGATTTTACTGCTCAAACTGGCGATCCAACTGGCATGGGAACTGGCGGTGATTCTGTTTACAAGTACGTAAATGGAACTGCTTGTGCATTTAGTAGTTACTGTCTAACATTCACTGATCATTTTTTATATATATAAAATGTAAAGTTTCTGACATTGCATTGTCGCTTGTGGAATGACTTTCTCTTTTTCAGGTTTCTTTATGGTGATCAAGCACGGTTTTTCAGCGATGAAATTCATATGGATCTTAAGCATACCAAAACTGGAACAGTTGCCATGGCAAGTGCTGGGAAGAATTTAAATGCTTCACAGGTATGGCATGTTTTGGAGCAGATTGAGGGTTCCTTTCCTCTTATTTAAGAGTAGTTATATGTAAAATAACTTCTCAATTACTAATGTTTTGTTTGTTTCTGTTTTCAGTTCTATATCACACTGCGGGATGACCTTGATTACCTCGACGGCAAGCACACAGTAAGGATTCTATGCATCCTTGCTTTACTTGTTTCATGGGGTTTGAACGCACCTCTATTTTGAGGACATGGAAATATTTACTTTTTAATGGATTTGGATCAATTAAGCGTTGGTGGTTTAACTTCTGCACAAAATAATTTTAATTTTTACGTAGTCATTACAAAGGGATAAATTAGGGATGGTTGTATTTTATCGATGGTTTCAATAGTGCCTCTATAGTAGTGTAGTGGTGCGAATTAGCCCCTATAGTGGACCATATAGTAGGTTGTATAGCGGACACTATGGCAGTGCTATGTGTTGATTCTAAGTAATACCTTAGAATAGAGACATTAGGCTTTTTTGGAGGGTTATTTTTGGGATTTTAGTTTTCAAAATTGAAATCTATAGATGTAATAATAGTGAAAGTTTTGAAAATGATGAAGAAGACATGGATTTAGAAGATGGTGACTGATAATTTCAATCTAGGAAACTTGTATTTGGCTTTTGTTAGTGTCAAAATCAAGTTCTGACAACCAGATGAAAAATATCTAATCACAAATTTGAAAATATTGATCTTTTTGACAATTTCCACCAAACAAATGAAAATTCAAATACAAAAATTAAAAGTTCTTCAAAAGAACCTAGAGGGAATTTCTCTCACAAAGCCTAAGCTACTAAACTGATTGGAAAAGTTAGCAAAAAACTATTTATACTATGGACATAAGAAGACTAGGCTCATTCACTAATTAGGCATACATCACTTATTTTACTGGATCTTACAGAGTCTGTTGATGCAGAATAAAATCAAATCTGATCATAGAAAAGATTCTCTTCAAGTAAAACCAGTCTACCCTCTCTGTAAGAGCCTTACTTGGTGGTTGGAAAAAAGACACATTTAATAATGTGATAGATAAGATAAAGTCATAGATATGTACGGCAAATAAATAATTCAAGTCACACTTTCCCATAATCCATATTTTGTTCGGAGAGTTCCAACTTATAAGTCATATAATCAGCCGAATAGAAACTAATGTCCAAAAGAGTTTCTAATTACAAAAAGAACATAGAAACATATACAATGGCCCAATACAACAAAATATAAAATATATAAAATCCCTGTTCTAGCTTTAAGCCCTCTTTGTGGTTCTTTATCATACCCTATCCATGCATCATGAGAAGATCCTTAGATAATTCAGACACTTCCTTTCGATGATGGTCAGGAAGAGAGCAATTCCAAGACAACTCCCAAGGATAATTCTTCTCCCCCAATAATGAAAGTCCTATCAAAACTTTGGACTAATTAAGATATTTCACATCTGATTTCATGCAGTACATGCCAATGTAGAATGAATTTCATACTCCCCTTCTTAACCTGTTGTACCAGACAGTAGGGCACATCGTTCTGCTAGGATGCTAGGTTGGAGGATTAAGGTCATCTGACGTGAATGGGGTATGAGTGATCTGCTATCTCCTGTAGTTAGTGTTATACCAGAAGATTTCAGGCTTCATGAACTGGGTATTTAGATAAATAATATTAAAAAGATATTACAGTTTATTTTATATTATTTTGTTTGTGCTGTCCATTGTTTACAAACAATGCATAGGACAGAATATTGTTGAGTTTGTCCTCTGTTGTTCACATTGTTCGGTACCTTACATTTTATTTTTGTACCATGGATGTTACTCTTTTGTTTTGCTGAGATTTGTTCATTGTTACAGGTTTTTGGTGAGGTAGCTGAAGGATTTGAGACTTTAACTAGAATAAATGAGGCTTATGTGGATGACAAGGGAAGACCATATAAAAATATAAGGTTTATACTCATTCTTCTCTACTACAAAATATACATTGAAAAAGATGATTTCGTATTTTGTCATTTGAGATGAATAAAATGTATTCATCTTCTTGAATTACTTGAATAGAATCAAGCACACATACATCCTGGAGGATCCTTATGATGATCCTTCCCAGCTATCTGAGTTCATTCCTGAAGCTTCTCCAGAAGGAAAACCTAAAGACGAGGTGATGGTTGATTGCAACACTGTTTTTCATTACTGGAAACTGCAGATATTATGCCATCGGTTATTTGTTAGCATTGCAATTGTTCCTTTACAATGTAAAACTATTTATCATGGACATGTGTCCAATTTCATTACTGGAAAGTGCAGAAATTATGTCATCAGTTATTTGTTAGCATTAAAATTGTCCTTTTCAATTTAAAACTATTTATCATGGACTAGTGTCCAATTGATTAAAAAATGAAGATATTTCATTGACCTTGTTTTTCTTAACTTGATATTGGGAAATCCATTTGGTACTTCTAACACACTTTAAAGAAGCATATTTGATTTTGCTATAATTCAACTTATAGAAATATGACAAGAAGTTTGTCTGCAGAGGTATCTTTATTTTAAATTATTTGAAATTCATTGGGCCTTATTCATGGGAGGAAGATTGCATGAGCCTAAAAAGGAGCATTTTTGTCTTATCTATGATTGACTTGAGACATCTAAACACGCACCCATCATGCCTAGATATAGACTTCTGAAATCTAAAGTTTACAAGATGACATTTATAGGTGGCCCAAAAAGAAGACTAGATAGCGCAATGGTTTGTCATAATACAACTATCCCAAAAGCTGAAATTCTTAGGATTTGCGAATTTTTTATGTCTGTAACATGCCCCCTCGTGTAAGAGCCTTTAAGCTTCAAATTTGATTTTATTAAAAGAAGGCAAAGATCAAAGCCTAGACCATTTTTGTCATACCCTGGAAGTGGTCCAAACCTAAATCCCAAAAGCTAACATAATGGAGGAGGATTGCTTAAGCCTTGAGGAGTATATAGGTTTTCATTGAAATACAGACTTATTAAAACTAAAAATGCAGATTTAGAGGTTATATGATCATTAGAATACTTCGAATGGAATTTGTCCTTCTATGCTGTGTTTGGTGTTGGTTGCTCTTTCAAGCGGGGTTTGTTGAGTGTTCTTTTCATGGTTTCTCGGTGGGTTTTGTTTCCCAGACCAATATGCAGATGAATAGAATAGTTAATTAACTTATTTTGCACAGATGTATTTGTTTAAGTGCTTTATTTTTTTCTCAGTTTTGGAGAATATATGTTCCTCCCCTAATAGCAGGTGGGTAAGACAGATTTATTTCCTACTTTTTGCTAGTTACAACAGTTAATCAAGAATTTGATTACATGATGCTTGGATTCTTCTGATATTACAAATTAATTTAATTCTGCCTGTCACTCTTTAGCTATAGATTGATAATTATATTAGATTTTACTTGTTATGCAATAGTATATTTGTTCAGCATTCACTGTAAAAGAGTTTTTGGCTGTAACTGTATGACTATAGATGGATGATTGAGTTCTTGAATCAATTCAAGCATTATAATAATGAAAAATTCAATTTTACAGTCTTCAGTAAGCATACATGTTCAAACGTCTTAAGGCATGACATGCAATTTTACTAGGTTGATGATGAAGTACGACTAGAAGATGATTGGGTACCCATGGATGAACAATTAAATCCAGCAGAACTTGAGGAGGTTATTAGATCAAAGGAAGCACATTCTAGGGCAGTTGTACTTGAGAGTGTAAGTACAATACATAGTTTTAGTACTTCATTTGTGAACGTGATTCCTTGTAAACCCTCTTTTCTTTCTTATTTTAGATTGGGGATATTCCTGATGCTGAGATTAAGCCTCCTGACAATGTATTGTTTGTCTGTAAATTGAACCCGGTTACTGAGGTGAGTAATCCCTTTCTGTGTGGTGTTATGTATATGTTGTTATCATGCACTCTTCCCCCCCCCCCCCTCCCTAATTTATACCGAGGTAGAAACCAGTACTTAACTTAATGTTTTTTTATTTAAATTTTAGGATGACGACTTGAATACTATATTTTCACGCTTTGGAACTGTATCATCGTGAGTAATATTAAGCAGTTTACTTGTCATGGCATTTACTACTACTTATTTCATTTTGTATATACTGTTCTTAATATTTTAATGATAGGGCTGAAATCATCCGTGATCACAAGACTGGTGACAGCTTATGCTATGCCTTCATAGGTCAGTATGAATATCAATTTTGTCATTTGTGTGAAATTTGTGCATCTATATTGTGTTCAAGTGGTTCTTTATGCCATTTTCTTTCCAGTTCCTACTCCAGTGGCCTGATTCTTTTTCTATGTAATTCTTTGAATCATTTTTGTGTCAACCACTTTCTTTGCCCACAAAAAAAAGTATTCAGGATGTATTCAGGAATGGCAAAAGGTAATAAAAGGAAGATATGCTTAACATGTTTACTACAAATAAGTTTTCTGTTTCTGAATTAATGTTTCCTTGTCTTTGTATATATTTCCTTCTGTCTTTTTCATTGTCCTTTTTATGCATGCAAGCACAAACACTCGTGTACATATGAAATATGATATATTAGAGCAACACTTTGATAGTGTGGTGCATTTGGTTGGAGTGTTTCTCAGGTTTTTTAAGGTTGTTTCATAGCTCAACAATTGACTTTGGATAAGATTTGTGATGGAACCTCAAAGAGTATGAAAGGTGATGTTTCACATAAGTGGCTCCTCACCTACAATTCATTAAATTCAATTGGAAATGGAAGTGAATCAGTTACTTCAACATCTTTGTAAGATCACAACCAAAGAAATGATCTCCTCTTTGCTTTTATGCCATGAGATGAACTCATGTCGTTGTAGATCCAAGAATATAAGAACACATCAACATAAGAACATATATTAACCATAATGTGCCAGGAATTGAAACAAATAAAAAGTAAAAGATGGAGTCAGGTAAGAAGTGAAGTATACCTTATAATGGTTTATATTAGGGATGTTTGTTTCCTAGTTTCCATATATAAACCTGCTCTGTGATTGAAAATGAAGATCTCTGTGTTTATATTTACTCATTTTGACAGAATTTGAGGACAAACGGTCGTGTGAGCAAGCTTATTTTAAGGTATGCTGAAAATTTTGAAGCTTCTTTTTACCACATGAATATCCTGTCCTTTTCTTGTCAGTAAATTAATTATTCTGTTTTGCTTCATGCACATTAGATACTATTGTAGGTTTATTTATTTCTTCCTTCTATCCTTGGTTAGCTTAAATAAATATACTATAGATACAAAAGATAATGGTAATTTTGTAATTGTTTGAGTGGCTTGCCTTCCTGTTACATTTTGTGCTATCTTGTGTTTCAATTTTTATTGGACTTTTAGACATAGTGGGTTGAAGAATTATTTTCTTTAGCAATTCTGTGTTTAAATAAGCATTTTTAAGTGTATATATGGAGAAAAGTGCTTTCGTTTGAAAAGAAAACTCATGTTGAACTTTTTTCTCTTTGATTGCCCCCTGAGAATTGTAGATGGATAATGCTTTGATTGATGATCGAAGGATACATGTGGATTTTAGTCAAAGTGTGGCAAAACTGTGGTCTCAATACAGGCGGAAAGATCAAAAGGGTAAAGGTAAGGATAAAGATATCTGTTAGGGTCAGTTGCTAGGTATGGATGTAAGTCTCACATTAGAAATATGAAATTCTAGTGTGAGGTTTATAAGACCATGGGCTTTCCAACTCAAAAACTAGCTTTAGCTTTTGTGATGTGGTTCTCCCAAGGTTCCTATCAATATCACAATCTGTAAGAATTTGCTTATTAATTGTTTCATTATTACTACATTGTGCTGAATGCCAATGTTTGGTTGTAAACAGCTGCCTTTCCCTGTGTTATATTTTTACAATAATTTATTACCGCAGATGGTGGCTGCTTCAAATGTGGCGCTACAGATCACATTGCCAAGGACTGCACTGGAGAGGCTACAATGAAACAACCACAAACAAAATACATCTTAAAGGATGATAATACCCAGCGTGGTGCAGATAATGCGAGGTATGTACTTTGGGTTGCTTCTTTCACTGTCTCTGATGTGTGACAGCAATTTCATGATGCATGCAGATATGAAATGGTTTTTGATGGAGATAACCCAGAAAGTCCAAGGCAAGATATAAAACACCAAAGGCATGACAGGGATGACCCAGTTGATAGGAAAGGTAGGAGTGATAATTTTAAAGATCATAGAAATAGTAGGGATCAGGATAGGGGAGACTCGAATAGAGATAGGTATGGTGATAGGAGCAGAGGGCATTGGGGAAATAGAGACGACAAAGCACGGTCTGAAAGAGGTGCAAGAGATTCGGATTCCCATGCTGACAAGAAAGACAGAGATAGGCACATGGGAAGACATGGAGATGATGATTTCAGGCGGAAAGATGACCGTGATTCTAGAAGAAGAGACGAAGATGATAGCTACAAGCGGAAAGATGAGCGGGACTCAAGAAGAAGAGATGAAGATGATAGCTACAGAGAAAGACGAAGTACTCGAGATGATAGGAGAAACACAGATTGTAGCCATTTGGAGAGAAGGAATGACAGGGATTATAGGAAGAGAAGTGAAGACAGTGGAAAGCAAGATGTGAAGATTGATTCTGGGCGGAGAAAAAGAAGTCCAGGTGAGGAGGATTACAAAAATGGAAGGAATGATGAAGATTACAGACACAGAAAGGAAGAACGGGGGTACAAAAGACAAGATATTGAAGCTGATGAGTATTACAAACGTAGAAGGGAGGAACGTGGACATAAAAGACTGGATATTGAAGCTGATGACTATCCCCACCGGAGGCATCATGGTGACAGGAGATGATATCCTAATGCTAAGCACAGAACCTTTGAACGACTATTATATATGTCTTTTTTGCTTCAATATTTCTATGTACTTACTATAAAGAAACAAATATATTGAATTTTAAGATTTTTTAAATGCATGTTTCATTGCTTTAGAAAACCCATTTTCATGTTTGGTGTACAACATCGCAGTTTAGGGTTTCATTAGTAAAACTAAACATAGCTTTAATCGTGATATATGGTTCGTGTACCAAAGTAATGGTTAATCTTCAAGAGGTTCCAAGGTAAAATAATGCACATATACATTTTATTATTAAATATATTATTGGAAAGCAAAGTCTAATTATTTTTATTTTTTTAATCTACTCACTTAATCCTCCTTACGTTTGACTTCTATCTACTCATCCAACACTCATTTTTCCTAACCCAATTTTTTCGGATTTGTTGAAAAAGAAAATTTAAAATATTAAATCACAATTTTTCTATTCCTTTATATTAATATAAATTCATAGTTTGTCTTTTTTTTCAAATCAAACTATTAAAATTTTTCTCTCCTACAACTCCTATATACAAATTTAAATTATCTATATCTTATTAATTAAAAGACAAAAATCAAATAAAATCATAAAGAAATAAGCTTGTACTATAAAAACCACGTATATATATATTTATTTCCTGTCAAACAGATAAGGAAAATGGAGGAAAATTTTTTGAAAAATTATTACAGAACAATAAAAGCAAGTTAAGATAAAAAAGAAAAAAAAATTATGGAAAGTGGAAAAATTATATTTATTATTTTGTGTTTTTCTATGTATGAGTTGAAAAAAAAAATCAGTCAAACAGGTAAGGAAAATAGAGGAAAAAAAAGTGAAAAATGATTACTGAACAATAAAAGCAAGTCAAGATAAAAAAGAAAAAAATTTTATGGAAAGTGGAAAAATTATATTTATTATTTTGTGTTTTTCTACAATGAGTTGAAAAAAAAAGGTAACTAATATATTATTAGTTAAGGGGTAACTTGGGCATAGGAAATACATATTATTTTCAATTAAGAAGAGGTAAACAAACGACAATTTCAACAAGAGAACTCACTCACAATTCAATCTCACTTCATGGAATCGCCGTTCAAAGCAGGAATTCTGAAGGGGAAGGTCGCTCTGATAACAGGCGGAGCCTCCGGAATCGGCTTCGAAATTTCGACACAATTCGGTAAACATGGAGCCTCCGTCGCACTCATGGGTCGCCGCAAGCAAGTTCTTCAGTCCGCTGTCTCCGTTCTCCAATCCCTCGCCATTCCTGTAACGAATTCGCTCCTACTTTTCTTGCTTTCCTTCAATTCAGTTGATTTTTTTTTTCAGAGGAAAATGGTTCTCTCGCGCTGAATTTTCACTTGTTTTACACTTAGAAATCAGAGAAGTGAGGTTTTATTAAATTTCTGTAGATTAAAAAAAAAAACTGAGGTGACTACTATTGTTCGGAACTCGAATTCGCTAATGTTGATCTGAAGGATGCTCGATTATTTTTTTTGTGCAGTAACAATAGCCTACAAGGTTCTCCTTCTACTCTGTAAATGTTTCAACCTCAAAGTTATCTGTCAATTCTGCTAGTGTAGGGACCCTTGGACAAACTTTGCCCTTCAGACTTTTAAAGGAGAGAAATAAGAAGAAAATAATAAAATGAACTTTTCCATAAGTTGAAACTAGCATTTGTTTGAGTTAATTTGTGGAAGCTCTTTCATATAGCTTCCCTCATTTTTTTTTTTTTTTTAATTCATGGATAGACTAATTTTAACATGAAATTCTTACAAGAGCTTAGATTATCACAACCTAGGTATTGTCAGGATTGGAGTCTATAATGAGCCTCATGGATTTATCTTAAATGGTGTTGGAAAGGAAAAAATGTTCATAAAATAGGTCTTATTAGACTATTTTGATTTTGAAGTACTGGAACAACAAATACTTCCACAGACATGCCTTTGAAATTTAACATAGGAAGATTCATGGACAGACTTAGATGTAGTAGCAATCAAAGGTGCTTTTAGTGTTATTCTTAGATGAAAAATAGAGCATTTTTTTTAATCAGGAATACATATTGAAATTTATTAGGTTTTTATTAGAAAACAAAAAATAACTTTGTAGAACTACATGTAAGTTTTGTAGATGAACCATTCCCGTAGGAGGAAAAACTAAAAGTAATGTACTTTCTGGTCATTTAAACTGCATCCTGACTCCTAATGTTTTAATTTTGCCTTTTGTTTGGCACGAGTGAATAGGTTATTGATGTAAATTTTGTTGTGGTTTAGGCGGTTGGGTTTGAGGGGGATGTACGGAAGCAAGAGGATGCAGCAAGGGTAGTGGAATCGACGTTTAAGCATTTTGGAAAGATTGATATACTTGTCAATGCTGCGGCTGGGAACTTTCTTGTTTCAGCAGAGGATCTCTCCCCAAATGGCTTTCGAACAGGTTCTTCTCTTGTCACCTCATTTTTTTTTTCTCTTTTTTGAAGGCCAATGATAATTGGAATATTGGTTGAAGAATTAAAAAATTAAAAAGTATATTGATAAGTGTTATTAATATATGTGATTTTCAATGCATCTTCATTGTGATTATGTTAAGGGTTGTCTAACTTATCTCATATTAGCTGATTGGTGCAATTCCCTGTGTACTTAAGTCTGGTTGATATAATTATTAGATTGCACTAATCATTTATAATGAGATTATTTAATCTTATTTTTACTCGAGATAATATGTTAATGTAGTTTCCTAAGATATTTTACACAAACTTCTAATACGGGGATTGGTGAAATTCTTATTCTGATCGGAGAACTGCAGTAAAAAGACTTAATAAATTGTATCATGATTTTGGAAGAACTTATTTATAACTTATTTGAACTTATGTTGTGCCATAAGCATTTGTTTAAGGGTTTGGTAGAGCTTACGGAAAAGCTTATGATCTTTCATAAGTTGTTTTCAACTTATTTCAGTACGCTCTCTAGGAAAAATTATGAAAACAACTTACATTTACGTGAAAATAGTTTCATCTTATTTCCTTTTCGATCATGGAAACATCTTATATGTTTGTTCTTATATAATAAGCACTTAATTAAGTTGTTTATCCAAGCGGGTCTTAAATTTTGTCAATTATGTTAACTGTTGTTAGACAATACACATTTCTTATATCAAAGGCATCATTGCTTGAAGAAAGCACCTTTCCAAAAATGTGGATAAGATAGAATTTTTATGTTTCATAACAGATACTTTCTAATTATCTCAAGTTTAGAACATGATGCAACCTTGTTCTAATTCTACTAATTAAAAGAAGGGAAATGGTGATAAGCTATAATTATTCTTGGCAGTTTTGGACATTGATTCTGTTGGCACATTCACAATGTGCCGTGAAGCACTAAAATATCTCAAGAAAGGAGGAGAAGGAAGGAGCAGCTCTTCTTATGGGGGATCAATCATAAACATTAGTGCTACCTTGCATTACACAGCTTCTTGGTACCAAATTCACGTGTCTGCTGCAAAGGTTTGTAGCACATTACTTCGATGTTAAAATTATCTTGTTGGCATTCTTCACCTTTAAAATTTCTCTTGTTCAACAGGCAGCTGTTGATGCCACTACAAGAAACTTGGCACTAGAATGGGGAACAGACTATGATATTAGGGTCAATGGGATTGCACCAGGTCCAATAAGTGACACTCCTGGCATGAGTAAACTGGCTCCTGACGAAATAAGTAGCAAAGCCAGAGATTACATGCCACTGTATAAACTTGGGGAGAAATGGGATATAGCCATGACTGCACTTTTCCTAGTATCAGATGCAGGTCGGTTGCTTTATATTCACCAAAATATTTTAAATTATTCTTTCAATCTTGTTTACATGATTTTATCAGGACTATAAAATATTACTTTTGTCTATATGAGTGATTGAACGAATGTCCCTGTCATTTGATTGTCTTGAACTTTCATTCCTCTTAATTTTGATAGCTCCCAAAACCAAAAAAATTATCAGAAAGTTACAATGATGAAATTCTTAATAAAAAATATCTCCAGTTCGGAATATTATTTTTCGAATTTAACTACTCTCTCTCCCACGTCCAGCTAGTACTATGTCTGAACGTTTCACCAAATTGCACAATAGTAGGCATTTAGTACCAAGTTGAATGTGTGCAGTGCAATACTATTTATTTTAGCAAACCAACACATTTTCCTAACTTCTTTAAACATCAGGGGATGTATTTATTTCTTGCATGATTAACCAGCTGTTGTTTGAGAATTTATCGAGTACTACATTTCATGCTCTGGTTTTTGTTTTTTTTTTTGGCAGCGAAATTGCATGGTTTGTACACCAAATAGTTATGTAATTGAATTCTTCTTTGCAATGTCATATTTTTCTTGCTCCGACTATATTTCACGAGTATAAAAGTGGTGTCTTAAACAATTATGTGCATTATTTTTGTACTATATATTGATTGTGCTTTATTCTAGTTAGATATTTGATTCAACATGAGTAAATTGTTTTTGAACTCCGACCATAGAGTTTGGCTAACCCAAATTCAGAGATAGATGTTATGAAATTTCCATTCCATGTTTATAAAACTTATTCCTTCGCAAGGTTGTTTTCAAATGTTTCTTCACATGTGTTTATTACGTCCAGGTTCTAAGCCATCATCAAAACAGTTATAAGTTTGGTAGCCTATTTGTTAAAACATCAAATTAGTGTCTTTTACTTTCACTCTTTTCATGTTTTAGCCCTAAAGGTTGTGACCATCTGTTTACGCGGAAAAAAAAAATAGTTGACGCTTTTCAATTCCTGGATTGGGGCAATTTTATTCTACAGACTGATTAAATAAAAAATAGTTGAATTATTTCTCCAAATTTGTGTAGGAAAATTCATCAATGGCGACACTGTGATAGTTGACGGAGGACTTTGGCTGAGCCGGCCTCGTCATCTAGCGAAAGAGGCTGTGAAGCAAGTATCTCGATCAGTAGAAAAGAGATCCAGAAATGCACCAATTGGTGTTCCAAAAAGCAAGCTGTGAACCAGCAGATTCAGGTCTTAGCTCCTCTACACAGCCGGGAATCTATTTGTAATTTGTAGAAATATTATGGATATTTTAAATCATCAATAGCTGACTTTTCTCAAATTATATAAAACCCAACAAATAAAATTAAGTTGAGGTGATTCCCATTATTACATACACATTCTGTTATTATCAACACTCTTCTTTTACCTAAAATATACTTTTTAAAATAAAAGTAGAAGTGTTTTGTCAATTTTTTTATTTAAAATATTTTTTAAAACAAAAATTACTTAATAATTCCATTTATCCAATATTGGATATATATATATATATATATATATATATTTAAATTAGAGAATTACATTGGGATATTTTTATGTTATCTTCGAGCAATTTAATAATATAATTTCAACTTTTTTACTATTTTGTTTCCTAATTAAGAAAAAAATAGTGATAGCAAACAATGATAATTATACACATAATATTATATTATTTTGTGTGTAAGTATATAACAATCAGTGTCGAGTAATTTTTATCAATGTAGAGCTCTGACAAATTATTCTTGTGGCAGTCGGAAAGGTATTAAAAGAAAAGAACAAAATTACTGCAATCTTATTACGAGAGAACAATTTATATTTCTGTGACGTTATAACTGTCCATGCTTAGATTTTACAAAAATGCGAAACATTGATTGCACTAAACTCTGCTTCAAATTCTCAAGCGTACAAAACTCAACTTCATATTTTGAGAGCTAAGAATTTCATCCTCAACCACAAAATTATGTACAACCCGGAAATTTGAAAACAGAATTTCAGCAGTGACAGAATCCACCCCCTCACCTATCTAATTTATTTTTGGACTGTCTCCAAGGCGTGCCATCATAAAGAATTCATCAAATGAGATGTATACAGTGGCTGAAGGTAGAGCGAAATGAGCAGTTCAACTTTAATCAACAGCTCCACTGTGTTTTTCCTGATCCCCTTCTTGTCCAATGAATGAGTACATATGGGGTTGACTTTCTATGGAAAAGTTACCGCATCAAACTCATTTGGCTCCCCAGTTAATAGCTAAATGTGTCAACATCTATGGAGAGGAGCAGGATATAAGTCCGGTAACTGATACCGGAGTCGATCATTATGCGGTAATGGTCCCTCCTGCATTGATAAAATTATAATTATTGCATTGTTTGGAGTAAAATCAAAAGTAGCACAGATGCATTAAGAAAATTATAGCAACTTGTCCAGAAATACAAAACCCTGCCATCATTGGTGGTAATAGGCTATGATGAGCTAAGGTTTTAAAGGGCTTAATTCGTAAATCTAAGGCCCAGAATGTAGACCATTTTTTGAAGTTTGACTTGCAAACCTATTAAAAACTCTGTAATATAGCCGCTTAAATGGGCCAAAAAACCTATCTCCAAACAGGTTAATGGATTTGAACTTATATGTAAGTTAACAGGCTTAAGCCTTTCAATTAAATAAGTAGATAATTTTAAAATAATACGTTAGAAGTTTAATACAATAGTATATATAATATAGGCGTACATAATGATATTGTTATATTTACTCAAATAGACTATCCTATTAGACCTAAAAAGCTCTTTGCATTGGCCCAAAGTCTAACTTTTCCAACTGAAAAGAGTTTCGAAGATTTGAAAAAGCACGAGCTGGGCCCATGGTTAATCTAACTCACTTTCATCCCTAACCTTCATTCAAGAAACTGCCTTTGATGCAGTATGAATGTTATACCAAACAAAGACCCAATATCATACAAATACAATTCTCAAGATCACTCTCTAACCTCCCATGTACTTGAGACCTGACTCTCCATCCCCATTTCCACTCTAAAACCTACAAGTGTTTTCTCCTCTTTCTCACCAAATATTTATATCATGCTATCCCTCTCAAACTTAACTAATGGTGGAATTCCTACTGAAAAATTACATATGCTACCAAACATTAATATTCAGGAGCAAGAATTAGCCAAGAAATTGTACAGTGCTAATTCATAATTTGCTTCCTGGTAAGTTGTCTTAATTGTGGTCACCCCAAACCTACCTTGGTTGCAAATTATTTAGGGACTATTAAATTGCAGCCTCAAGGGTGGTGTTTAGTTTCACATTCACCACAAATACAGTTTAAATAGATCTTATGAAGTTTGGACATTTCTCACCTTAGAAGTTTAATTAGAAGGTTGAATTAGGTCTTAAGTTCAAATTCTAAAATGGAATTAGAATCTATCCAAATTCTAAGATTGCTGGTAAAATAGCAAGGCAAAAAAAATCAAGTAAATTGTGGAAGAATAAGTTAACAGAAAAAGACAGGGGAGAGTGAGAATAATTAACGTGCTATTGTGTTAAATATATAACATTAGGATATCCAATCAAAATTTAATAATCTTGACCACATTAAGCTACAGGGACGAAAGTACCTCATCTGGGTTTATTTGGAATGGCTTCACAAAGTCCTCAAACATTACTGGAGAATGTTTCTTCAATTTTTCTTCAACCTCCTACGGATGCATAAAATAGAAGATATATAAAAAGACAAACAACGCAAAATATTTACATAAAAAGAGGAAAAGAAAAATAAAAATCAGGCCAAATGCACCGAAGTGCAGAAGAATAGGCTTTGAATAGGAAAATCAAGACCAAGTGGTCAAAAGTTTGATTGTATCCTCATAAGAACCAGGAAATATGATAGAACAACTATTTCTAATTGTATTAATAACAGAGTTCCAGCCAGAATGAATGAGACTCAGAATTCAGAATACAATTAGCAATAGCAGAAAAAAAGAAGTGATACCAGAGCAAATTAGAGTGCCCAATTCTCTCCCAAGTCCCAGACAATTCCCACCTACCTCTCCTCTCCCTACAATCTCCTACTTGTACTTTCTCTATCTAACAACTTGTGCGCACACACTACTGCCAAGTCAGTAGCTAGTTAGCCCCCCAATTCTCCCCCTTATTCTGATTAAGTGTGATATGATATCTCTTCTGTCTCCTACCATACAACTTAAGCTTAGGGTTCTTATCATATATCCACTCTGATTAAAACAGCCAGTCCATTTCCTTTTTACTAGATATTTTAGATATTATTAGTCACAATATATGTATTATTTATTATATTTATATGTATGATTCTTAATTATAAATATATTATCCAATGTGTATTTTAGACACAAGGGAATTAAACTTATACCTAATATTTCATTATATTTAACATGGTATCTAGAACTTAGGTTCTCTTTTTTGATCGCCGCTACTGCTGCCCCTGCACCTGCCGCCGCTGCCTCTGTCGCCGGAGCCGCCACTGTTGCCCGAGCCATCACTGTCGCTGGAGCTGCCACTATCGCCGGAGTCACCGTCACAGTTCAGACCGACGACCACACTGTTCTACTCGTCTCGACTAGGTGACCACTGCGTCATTGAGATTGCCGCAATTGAAGTCTCCACGCGCTATTTAAAGTTTTTAGGAATTTTCTCTTTCTTCCTCCATGGCTTCTTATGATGTCTTATAATCATCTATTGTGGATCTTACGTCATCTTATAATGTAGAAAAATCTGTTATTTTCAATGAATTTTTCAAATAATATGAGAATCGTCAGAACTCTAGTTCCACTACTTCTGTTGCATTCACAGGTACATCTTTTGTTAATCAAACCCAATCTCCTTCTCTTGGACCTTGGGTTCTTGACTCAAGTGTTACAGATCATATTATTGGGAACAAATCTTTGTTTTCTTCTTTATTATTTCTGAATAATTTACCTTCGATTACAATGGCTAATGGGTCTAGGGTTTTGTTCATGATGTTGGTACTGTTAAACTTTTTTCATCTTTATCTATTGATAATGTTCTTTATGTCCCTAGGTCTCCCTTTAACTTATTATCCATTAGTCGTCTAACTCGTTCTCTTGATTGTGTTATTTCTTTTACCAAATATTCTGTTTGTTTACAGGATCGGAGTTCGAGACAGATGATTAGCATCGGATGTGAGTCTCATGATCTTTATCATCTCCACCCTTCTACACATGTTGGCACAACTATGAAGTCTCCATCTCTCCTACATGCTCAACTAGGTCATCCAGTCTTGCCATATTGCAGCAGCTTGTTCCTAGTTTGTCCAATTTATTTAGTTTATTATGTGAGTCATGTCAATTAGGGAAACGTAGTCGTAGTTCATTTCCTCGTAGTATCTCACAACGTGCTTCGTCCCCTTTTGCATTAGTTCACTCTGACATTTGGGAACAAATTCATGTTAAATCTAATTTAGGTTTTCAATATTTTATTGCCTTTATTGATGATTATTTTAGAAGTACTTGATTGTTTTTAATGAAAAATCATTCTGAGTTATTGGTATTCTTCATCAAACTTCATGTGCTTATATACCTCAACAAAACGGGTTGGTTGAGCACAAGAATAGATATCTTATAGAAACAACCCGTACTCTTTTAACTCATGGTGAGGTTCCTAAACATTTTTGGGGTGATCTTGTTCTTACTGCATGTTATCTTATCAATCGCATGTCATCTTCGGTTCTAAATAACAAAATTCTTCATTCTCTTTTATTTCCTCATGAACCTTACATCTCTTACCTCTTAAAGCTTTTAGGTTTACATGTTTTGTTCATAATTTTAGTCTTGATCTTGATAAGTTATCTCATAAATCACACAACTGTGTTTTTTTAGGTTTACTCGATCACAAAAAAAAAAATATAAGTGTTTCTCTCCTTCTCTTAACCCTTGTTTTATTTCTAAAAATGTCACATTTAATGAGTCTTCCTTTTACTTGAAGTGTCCTTCTTCTCCGTGTGTGTCGCCATCTGCTACTATCAATATTATTGTTGTGTGTGATTCTCCTGTTAGCCCACCTTCGAATTCTCCTCCGCCACTACCACTTCAGATTTATAGTTGAAGACAACAATCCCAACAACTACCAAATGACTCTCTTCTAGTGTGAACTCCTTTGTCTCTTCTGGCTCTGACAATTGAGTTTGACCTTCTAATTGCCTTCCGTAAAG